GAGGGCGGGGGGGAAGGGAGGCACGGTAGTGCTCCACCAGCATGGTTACAAGCACCTGGATAGAATCTGGATAGAATCTGCTTGGCGCTCCATTACGCTTATCAGCCAATCCGTGCTTTTCTGCCTGAGCACTGCGCTTTTGTGCCAGCGCTCCTCGTTCTGCTGGCAGATCCTCCTTTCACTCTCCCGCCACTCCTGCACTTTTTGATTTTAATTACTTGAATGCTGCATTACTTCATGCAACATGTCTTCCTTGCTTCTACATGGCCTCTTTCTGATCCTTTGGAGTCTTTTGACAGGTGATAACACGGACAGCTGAGATCTCAAGGTTGCAGCAATGGTCCCTCCGCCCCTCACGGCACAGTGGCACAGACAAGTTAGCCTTACTGGGACAAGGACACAGTGGCTTTCCTGAGAAACCTGCACAAGTGCATTGCCCAAGTTCTGGATAAGACTTTTGAAGAGATCACTGAGGCCGATTACTGCGATGTGAGAGAGCACATCAACGCCCTATCTAGGCATGCATGCAGCCCTAATCCTCCTCACCCCAAGAGCCCCCACCGAATAATTTCCTTCCCAAAATAAAGGCCGCGTACTGGGAACCTCCTCTGGTGTTTGTCCTTCCCCAAGCACTGGCCGCCGCTACTGGCTACCTTCCTTCTGGCTTGAGAACAGCTCCTGGCTGCATGTATCTAGGGATTCTGGGGTGCCTTCCTCCTCCTCAGCACACTCGCTCCCGCTTTGCCTCCTCCTCCTTGCTCCTCCTCCTCCTGCCTTGTTGAACTGGGCTCTGAAGTGTCCATGGTGGTACTCGAAGTAGAGGTGGGGTCGCCCCCAAGTAGTGCATCCAACTCTTTGTAGAAATGGCAGGTCGCGGGGGAAGCACCAGAGAGTGGTTGTTTGCCTCGCAGGCTTTGCGGTAGGCATTCTGCAGCTCCTTCACTTTAACACTGCACTGCAGAGTGTGCCGGTCATGGCCCCTTTCCATCATGTCCCTTGATATCTGCCCAAAGATATCATAATTCCTTCCGATAGAGCGAAGCTGGGACTGGACAGCTTCCTCCCCCCAAACACTGATGAGGTCCAGCACCTCGCCATTGCTCCATACTGGGGATCGCCTGGTGCATGGAGGCATGGTCACCTGGAAAGATTCGCTGAGAGCGCTGCACGCCTGGCTGAGCAAACAGGAAGGTGATTTTCAAAATTCCCAGAGAATTTAAAGGGCGGGTCTGATGGTTGGTCACCTGAGGGAAGGTCAGTAGAGTTCAAAGTGATGACCACAGTGGCTAGAACAGGCATTGTGGGACACTTCTGGAGGCCGATTAGAGCGCATTAACAGGACAGGTCATCCACGCTGGTGCTGCGGTGCTCCAGCAGGGGCACAGCAAACATTATTCCACTTGCTGAGGTGGAGTACCAGCCGCGCTGTAGCCGAGGAGTCAGAGCGCTCTACGTACCTTGCCAGTGTGGACGGGGAGTGAGCTAGGGTGCCCGGGGCTCCTTTATTGCACTGTAACTCACAAGTGTAGCTAAGCCTGTGATGTTATTGTCTCTTAAAATGGTATAAGGAAGTAGTCAGACAAAAGCAGGAACTTTGGATTTCTTATAGCAGAAATCCAGGCATTGGGCAGTAAAAGGCTTATTTATACTACATATACCATCAAGCATACCACAGCACCAAGTCAGAAGCCACAGTTACAATATGGTTTTTCCCTGATCTTGTTGCAACATAGCAGAAAAGACCATAGACATGTTAAGATTATAGCTCAATTACAAAAAATGGAAAAATAAGGATAAGATTCCATCCACACTACAATTATAACTGGATCCCCAGACTTGGTTGCCTTTGTACTGTCAATGGGTCCTGAGAGGCTAAGAATTGTAAATACAAACAACAAAAATATTATATTCAAGTGAGTCCTGTCTCCGGGCTTCTCAATGCATCCTGTTTTCTCCATTCCTGCCTTTTAGATTGTAAGAACTCCGAGGCAGGGACTATTCTATTTTGTGCCTTATACAGTATTTAGCACTGTTGGCCCTTACCAGATTCCTTTGCAATTATTTTTACTTGTTGAGTCTCCGGAGTGAAAGTAAGCACAGCGTTAGTGTTTGATAAGAAATAATTATTAATTACTTCCATTCTAGCTAAGTGAAAGGTTCATAGGTTGCTATGTGTGGTCTCTTCTGGGCAGTGAAGTTAAAACATCAGGGAGGTGAATGAGATAGGGAGAGTGCTTGCATCTTTGCTGGAGACAACTTTCTGCAAGTCTGAGGTAATAGGACCACAATTTTAAAAACTTTTATTAAAACTAATGTTTAAAATCAAGTTTACACAAGTTAAGAAGGAAGGTACTATACATCTGGGGTCATAAGCACCGACTTCCCCTCTGCCCGGTAGGTGCTCGACCCCCACCCTTCCTGCTCCCATTCCACCCCTTCCCCAAAGTCCCTGTCCCTGCCCCGCCTCCTCCCCTGAGCACACCGCATTCCGGCTCCTCCCCCTCCCTCCTGGAAAGTCCTAAGCACCACCAAACAGCTGTTAGGCGGCAGGGGGGCAGGAAGTGCTGGGAGGGATGGGGAGGAGTGGGGACGCAACGTGCTGGGGAGAGAAGGAGGCAAGGAGGGGGAAGCTTGGCTGCCAGTGGGTGTGGAGCACCTGCTTATTTTTCCCTGTGGGTGCTCCAGCCCCAGAGCACCCCAGGAGTTGGTGCCTATGTCTGGGGTCAGGCTTGAGTTATGAGAGATTACAAGTATAGGTTACAAGGTTCACAAGATACATATATAGTACATGACCAGCATAGACCCAGATTGGGGTGTGGGAGTTTTTAAAGCATCAGTGAATAAGTGATCTCAGGTATGCCACCCATAGAATGTATTTAGAGTCCAAGTCAGTATTGATGTAGCGAATAGGTTACTACAGGGCCACTGAAGTCAACAGGAGTCTTTCCATCTACTTCAATTGGGTTTGAATCAGGCCCTGTTTTTCAGTGGAAAAGGTTAGAAATGTACACTTTAAAAATTCTTTGGAAAGCAGCAGAGATTAAGATTTAAGTAATGTAATATATAATTTTCTGCTGGCTGTTAATGAGATATTTGAATCTCATGGATCCCTCTCTCTTCTTTTGTGATCTCTCTGAATCTATACTGTTGACTACACTCTTCTTGCCTGCCATGAGCAGGAGGAAATTTACCTGTAGTTTCCTTTCCTAGAGGTCTAATACTGGACACCTTCAAGACATCAATGTGTGTTCTGTGGGCAGATGGCTTGCAGAGGCAGGTGCTAGTTTGAATTATTTATTTATACATACATACATGCATACACATACAGTGCCCAAATGTGTGGTAGGTATTTTGCAGAGACATATAAGAAGACAATTTATCATCAGGTGCCAGTGTTGATATGTATGTTTATATAGAGATAGATACTTGTTTCTTATATGTCATTGTTTATACACAATTTTGGTATGTTAGCAGTTGGTGCAACATTGTTATATTCCAGTAGACAAGCATGGTTTGTGTGTGTTTTTAATGTAGCGTGGTTACATGGAAGACTATATATAGGTGTTAGTTGCAGCATTTTTATTTATTGAGAGATGCACAAACAAATGTTGTAGGAGTTGTGCTTGTAGCTAACTGTGTGGATGACTGGAGTACAGGCAGTCCTCTGACTCACGACACACTTGGTTCCTGAAAATTGCATTGTAAATCAAAACGTCGTCACTCGGAACTGCAATCCACTCCATTGCAGGACCGAGCGTTGTAAAGTCGAAACCAATTGTCGTAAATCAAATCAGGGTATCGATTCAGAAATGTCGTAAGTCGAACATCGTAAAGTCGAGGACTGCCTGTATAGCCTTTCTGTAAGGTTGTCAAATATGAATAGCAGGCTGATATCTCACCAAGTGCAATGGAATGTAATTTTAACTCAGGGTTGTTTTGTCCTAATTTCTTTAATGTTGTTAAATGAAATATTAACTAAGGTCCAGTGATCTCTGATTTAGATCTGAACTGTGATTTGTACCATATCTTGAATTTTCTTTAGCCGCATTGTAAAAGCATGGTTTTCTCTGACGAACTATACCATGTGAATTTTAACATTTCGACCTAGTATTCCTGATGGCTATAAAATCCACTATGGACCTCACCATGCAGCTCCAATGTACCTTTTGGTGCTCTAGAAATACATAAAATTGATAAAAGAGATTAAGTTTATGGGGCCCATGCCTAACAATGTGAAATATTTGATAACCTAAGTCTTTCTGTAAGCTGTTGTGTGTGACCAGATTGTTCTGGTCTATAGGCAGGTCCAAAAAACATGTGTGTGGTAAAAGGCCTACTCACATCCACCCCAGAAGAGAGTGAGGCTGTTTGTGTTAATTTTGTTGGTGATCACTAAGGTGCAGACAAAATGTTACTTTCCACTGGAATTATTTCCACAGCAGGGAGGTTGTGGGATTTGGGGGAATGTTTGCCAGTAATATCCTGGAATTATGATTCCCATTTTTTTGTTTTATGTGTGACTTCTCGACTCCAGCATCGTGCAAGGCTCTGTAGAGCTTGGTAATTGTCCTTTACATTTGTCTGTTACTCTGAAACTGTTGATAAGAGTCAGACAGATATTCGGTGCTGTGTCTTTGCCTGGCCCAGCCTGCTGGGGAGAGAGGACTATAACTGCAGGTATTTGAGAAAACCTAGCATTTGGAGTTTGCATTGTTTAATCAATAATTACACAAATGCTTTCTGGTCTAAAAGCCAAAATAACTGTTCCAAGTTCACTTATTCTATTGCTTCCCACATTAGACGAGGGTTTGTGTCTGGGAAGCTGAAGATTTGGGGGTGATGGAGGAGTATTGAGGCCTAGTTTCTAGGAAGGTTTGCTGGGCCGATTGTGTGTAAGGGGGCCCAGTAGTGTGTAGCAGGAAAGGATACAGCCAAGCTGAGCAGGGGCTGATGCAGGGGTATGTGTCTGAAGGGCGCTATCCTGAGCTGTGCCTCTCCAGTCCTTGAGGCTGGGGTGGCGGGTGAGCCCTGTGGCCAGGGCCCCAGCTTCTCTGTGGAGGCTCCAGGGCCACAAGAGGAGTTTCCACGTGGGCCCTCGCTCCCCTCCACGGGCCGGCCTGCGGGTCACCCCCTTTCCGGGTGTCTCGTCTCCCCCGGGAGCGAGGAAACGCGGGGCCGGGGGCAGTAGCTCGGCCGCTTCACGTCCCGCGGAATCCGGACCCTGGTTGCCCCCCCCGTGTCCCCCGCGGCCGGGTTATAAAACAGCCGAGGAGGGCCCGCCCCCGCCCTGCGCGCCCGGCTGTCGCGGTGCTGGGCCAGGTCGGGCAGCGGAGGCCGCGGCGGGAAGCAGGTGAGGAGAGCGCGGGATCCCCCGAAACCCCTCCTGGCCGCCGAGCCCTCTCCCTCCGCCCGGGGAGAGCGACGCGTCAGCGGCCCCGTGCCCGCCCTGCCCTAGTCCCAGCGTGAGGGCCCTGAGTCTTCCCTGGCGGGAGACCGGCCTCACAGCCGGCGGCCCCCGGAGCGGGGCAGGGTCATGCCCCGGACTCCTGAGGTGCCTTCAGCCTCCTGCTCGCGCCCCGCGCGCTGCCCTGTCCTGACCGAGTGGTTATCGCCATGAGACTGATGGGGAAACTGAGGCTCCGGGAGGGGAAGGGCTCGTCCCAGGTCATACCCTGAAGCATTGGGGGGAGTCAGGAATAGAACCCACGAGACCTGGCTCCCGTCCCCCTCCTCTCCCCGCCCCCCCAACCAGTAGATCTCCCCCATGTGCAGAGAGCACATGGAAACTTCCCAGGATGCATCTGGTGAATCCTCTTCCTAACAGTGTCTCTAGCATGTTCCCTTCAGCTTTTGAAATGTTTCTCTCTCCAGGGAGGAGTGCCAGGGGGGCACAGCGGGAGATGGGCTCTGGCTAACACCTTTTACACTTACAACCAGGCCCTGCTGTGTTAGCCAGGTGAGTCTTGGAAGACCATTCACACCATGCTGCCAGGCCAGCCCAGGGCTTGTGACAGTCCAAAGTCTCCTCACACACTCTGCCTCAGATTTCAGAGTGGTAGCCTTGTTAGTCTGTATCAGCAAAAACAATGAGGAGTCCTTGTGGCACCTTAGAGACTAACAAATTTATTTGGGCATACACTTTCATGGGCTAAAACCCACTTCATCAGATGCATGGAGTGAAAAATACAATAAGCAGTATAAATATTACAGCACATGAAAAGATGGGAGTGCTAATGAGGCCAATTCAATTAAAGTGGAAGTGGCCTATTCTCAACAGGGAGGGCTGCCGGGGGGGGCAAGTGGGGCAATTTGTCCCGGGCCCCACAGGGCCCCCCACAAGAATATAGTATTCTATAATATCGCAACATTTTTATGGAAGGGGGCCCCCAAAATTGCTTTGCCCCAGGCCCCCTGAATCCTCTGGGCAGCCCTGTTAGATCATCTATTCTGAAGGACAATCCTTCACTCTCACAGATCTTGGGAGACAGGCTAGTCCTTGCTTACAGACAACCTCCCAACCTGAAGCAAATACTCACCAGCAACTACACACCACACAACAAAAACACTAACACAGGAACCAATCCTTGCAACAAACCCCGTTGCCAACTCTGTCCGCGTGTCTGTTCAGGGGACACCATCATAGGACCTAACCACATCAGCCACACCATCACGGGCTTGTTCACCTGCACACCTACCAATGTGATATATGCCATCACGTGCCAGCAATGCCCCTCTGCCATGTACATTGGCCAATGTAGATAGTCTCTACGCAAAAGAATAAATGGACACAAATCAGACAGCAAGAATTGTAACATTCAAAAACCAGTAGGAGAGCACTTCAATCTCCCTGGACACTCAATAAATAACAGACTTGAAAGTGGCAATTCTTCGACAAAAAAAATTCAAAAGCAGACTGCAACAAGAAACTGCAGAACTGGAATTAATTTGCAAACTGGACATCATCAAATTAGGCCTGAATAAAGACTGGGAGTGGCTGGGTCACTACAAAAAGTAATTTTCCCTCTGCTGATACTCACACCTTCTTGTCAGCTGTTGGAAATGGGTGACGTCCACCTTGATTGCATTGGCCTCGTTAGCACTACAAAAGTAATTTTCCCTCTCTTGATATTCACCCCTTCTTGTCAACTGTTGAGAATAGGCCACTTCCACCTCAATTGAATTGGCCTCCTTAGCACTGGCCCTCCCCACTTGGTAAGGCAACTCCCATCTTTTCATGTGCTGTAATATTTATACTGCTTACTGTATTTTTCACTCCATGTATCCGATGAAGTGGGTTTTAGCCCACGAAAGCTTATGCCCAAATACATTTGTTAGTCTCTAAGGTGCCACAAGGACTCTTCCTTGTTTCTGCCTCAGATGTACTCTTCCTGCTGGGGTTGGATGGTGCCTGTGGCATTCACAGTGTCTGATTCACACTTCAGCTCTTTTCTAAAGTAGGTCATATGACACCAATGGCAACAATGTGTGTGGGACAGTTCTGGAAACATTCAGGCCATTATACAGAATGGAATCGGTGCTAACTAATCCAATTCCTGGATGTAGACTTCAGGGGTAGAATAACAGGGTGTGCTGTGGGTCAGAACTGAGGGGCATCAGCAGAGCTAGGGGGTGAGTGGGTGGTCAGGACTAGAATAGCGGGGTCTGCAGGGGACTGGCAGAGCTGTGTGGGCTTCCAGATGGGAATAGCAGAGTGCTGGAAAGTCAGCATTGGGGTACTATTTGGGGAAGCTTTCACAGTGCCTGCCTAACTATATTTAGCTATAGTGAGACATCAGTGACATTTATTCACAAACTAAAAATAAAATATACCACTGTCAAAGGATCAACTTGTACTATATTTTTCATAGAGGCCCCTTGGGATCTGCCACTGAAATTTTCTACTTTAGAACCTCCTAGATCAAATGAGGAAAACTTGAGTAAAAGGCTTCTCACTTTGGATTGGGGGTGGGGGAAAAGAGCATTAAAATAGAGGACTAAAATTGTGTTGTGTCCCAAAATCTGTATGTGTGTGTCATGGAAAAGCAGGGAGTGTCCAGCATTTTCAGTTTGCTCATCACCATAGTATCTAGGAGCTTGAGTCATGGATGTCAATTTGAGTTGACTGAAAAATAATTTTTGCCCATACTTGGTGGCAGAGCCTAATGAAGCCTTGTCCTCTTCAAAAAGCACTGAGCCTGACCAATGAGCTCATGTAGCAATGTGGGTGCTGCAAAGACAGCTGTGGCATTTTGTGCAGCTCAGTAGATTTCAAACTTGAGAATTCTGTAGAAACGGGAGATACCCCATTGCTTTAGAAGCCAATCATTTTAATGAAGGCGTAAAGAGCCATTTATTGACCCCCTATATCCCTCCCCACAACAGTGCAAGTAAAAAGCCAGTATTACAGAGATGAAGGGTGGTACAGGTATGTCCCACTTTTAGGCTGTCAGGGCATGTTGCACTCCAACTTTCTGTCTTAAAGCCAGAAGCAATGACAAATCCTACTTTCCTTACTTTGTTTTTTTTAGCGGGGCAGACAGAATGACCCCTGAGAACCAGTCAAAGGACAAGAAGCATGTGAGGGTGTATGAGCATCAGCGAGAGGAAGATGCAAAATCAACTGGGAAGAGGAAACGAGACCATGGAGAACTGGAGAATGAGCCGCAAGCAAAAAGATTGTTTCTGAGAAAAGCAGCCAAGCCCTCAGGGAAAATTGGTAATGTTCCCTCAGATTCTCACTCTTTCTGCCAACCGGGCCTTTATAGAATGAAGGGCGTAAACCAAACTTTCAGATCTGGGGTTGGGAGATGTCAAGGAACCAACAGCTTGTTCAAACAGGACTTTTTGGATTGGGTTATGTTTCTAAGTGAGGGGTGGAGATATGTGGGGGCATTATTCTCAGCTGTCGTTTGGAAGCTGTACTGTGTGTGTGTGTGTGTGTGTGTGTGTGTGTGTGTGTGTGTTTGTTTATGTGCATGCATGTGTGCATATGCAGCATTTTGATGAAAGTCATTGCTTATCTCTCCTAAAACTGGGCTCAGCAGAGTGTACATCACTGCCCATTGAGAAGTGACTAAGCTTTGTGGAATTTCAGAAAAACTTCTGCTGCTTCATTTCTGAAGTAGGACAGACCAATGTTGGTAACGTGACATTATATAATTCTTCATGCTGTTCCATAATCAGAAGGTTAGTATTGTACATCATGCAGCCGAAACCAGCATTTCCATCTGGAGAGCATGCTGTGTCCACTAGCAAGATGTTGCACAGAAGTTGGAGCTAGAGGGCTAGGTAGATGGTAAATCTTTCTGCTGATCTTCTGTAAGGTTGTGTCCATAGTTAGACAGACTATGGACTAGTTCCTTTCTAGCTATAATCAGTTAATTGCACCAGACTGGACAAGTGTTCTCACAAGTCATCTCTCCTTTGTGTATTTTTTCCTTCAATATGTAACTTTTGGGTAAAAAATGTTTCACTTTTTCCCTTTAATGGAGGAGATGGGTGAATATTAGGTCTGGCCTATGCTACACAGTTAGGTCAATATAACTTATAAGGCATCTTATGTCGACCTAATTATGTAGTGTACACACTACACCCTTGACCCGCCAATGTAAGTGCCCTACCACACTGACATCATAACTCCACTTCCAGGAGAGGCCTAGTGCTTATGTCAGTGTAGTTAGGACAACACAGTGTCTGTGTATATACTGGGTTACTTACATCCACCACTAGCTCTCTTGTCAATTTCATGGCTCCCAGCCCAGCTGCCCCCTGCCCTCATGGAGAGCTTCTGGCTGGGAGCCAGGGTGAGACTGGATCCCACTCCTGGCTGGGAGTCGCGGGTAGTTAGACGCCACTACCAGCGGGGAACAGGGAGGCAAGAAGCCCCAGTTGGCTTCTGCCCCCTCTCCCTCCCGCGTCTAGGAATGTTGGCTGTCTTGTCCCAGCAGGAAGGGGGCAGGGGCAGCCTGAGAAGCTGGGGCAGCTGAACCCTGTTCCCCGGGGATGAGAACCCCCGGGCGGCTTCCCCCTTACTCCCGGTGGGGAATGGGGAGCTGAGGTGGGGATGGGGCAGCCCGCCAGGAGCCTGTGGTGCAGCTGGGCTCCTGGCAGGGAGCTACCAGTGGAGCTGGGAGACCGGGTGTTTGGTCACCACATTGCCCCTCTAAGATTGATGGAAGTGCTCCTGGTGAGGATGTGCACCACCGACCCAAGGAGGGTAGTGTGGACATGCACCACCACAGTAATTACTGCAGGGGCTGTAAGTTGACCTAAACTATATTAGGTCAACTTAAGTTTTTAGTGTAGACATACCCTTAGTCTTTCCAGTATCAAGGAAGTTGTGCAGGCTTACAATTCGAATAAGGACTCTGTGTCTCTTCATGTCCATGGGTATCATTTTGAATCCTATAATTTGCTTATGGGATCTTCAGAGTTATTTCCTTTCAGTATTTCTGGAAGATGTCCCTTCTAAAGACCCAGAAACTGTTGAAGATGGGCAGTTCTCATAATATCTGTATGGTGGCGCCCTTGAAGATGGCATCTTTACTATATTTCATAAGCCCCAGTTTGTTTGGTGTATGACCTAAAGATTGGAGCAGGCCCTAATGTGAGTAGTGGAAATTGAAGCAAAACATGCCTGTTTAGAGGAATTCTGCTTATTATAGAGTTAATGGTTAATGAACAAATCTCCTGTAGCTAATGTTACCGCATGACATTTATTATAACTCCAGGTCTGATTTTTAGAGTTGCTAACCCTCTCCAGTTCCAATGTGCTTCAGTGAGAGTTGTATGTATTCAGTACCTTTGAAAATGAGGCCAATCGTGTTTTCACTTATAGCTTACATAAAAATGTTTTGAGGCTGAGCCTTTCCATTCTGTATCCCAATCTAAAAGGTGAGTTTTAATTTTTACCCAGTTTGGAAAAAATCCCCGTGGGGAAATAATTTTTAATGCATAGATAATTCAAAAAATATCTAAACTTTAAAATCTGAGACTCTACATGCAACTAGTCCCCAAAGAGGAGTAATTGTGTTGACAGAATAATCCACCTTTTTGAACAATATAAACAATTAAATGAGTTTGGTGCATGCATGGTAAAAATTTGAGTTTGAAGTTCCGTAATTGCATTATGTAGGCTTGCAATACACTGCAGAGCTGATTAAAGCCATCAGTAAGTATTTTGTATTTCTATAAGGTTGAGTTTAAAATCTACTGAGCTACAGAGCAGCTATGCAACCAAATAGCGCAACAGCTGTCTTTGCAGTAGCCCATGTCTCTTCCTGAGCTTTTTGGTCAGGATCAGCTGGGAGAAAGCACAGTGTTGTTGTGAAGTGGATGGACCTTCATTAGCCACAGAGCATTCCCAGAAGTGATTTTTCAATCCAGGGTTGTGAGTTCAATCCTGGAGGGGGCCACTTAGGGATCTGGGGCAAAATCAGTACTTGGTCCTGGTAGTGAAGGCAGGGGGCTGGACTTGATGACCTTTCAAGGTCCCTTCCAGTTCTAGGAGATAGGATATCTCCATTAATTTTGTTAACGAAGCAAAGACTGAGTCCCCAAAAAGGCCTCCACTTAGGCCACGTTTCAGACTTAACCCACTTCTGCTGTTGCCCTGCTTAAAAAGCAAAGTTGGAATTTTCTCACAGTGGGAGTACTGTTTTATGGGATTTCCTTCTTCCCAAACTCAAAAATGTGTGAAGATCAATTTAAAAAATAAATAAATCTATATCTATAGATATACTTCCTGACAGGACCCACGCCTTGAAAAAAGCTTCCCTTCAATTCGAGCAGTGAAAGTCTTTGAGTATTAAGAATCTGTAAAAATGTGAAGTTAGAATGGAAATGCTCTTACACCCATAACTACAGCAAGTATGATGAGCACCTGCTGTAATCATGCATGAATGTTGGTGTGTGTGTTAACTTCTTAATTTCCAGGCTTCAGTGTTTCATAAAGTAAGGATATTTTTTGTGTTATATATATATATATTACTCTTTTTGTTTCTCTCCTCCTGTTTTGTATTAGTATGGATCTTTACATGAAAATAAGATTTTTGTTTGAGATTCATCTGCTCTTCTGCTTCCCCACCTGACGCCTGGATCCGCTGGGATGTTACAGTCCGTTGCTGTGGGGATGATTAGGTCACACACGTGGGGTTGATCAGACTCTCTTTTCACATAGATGTCCCTGATGATTAAGCCTGAAGCACTAGCAAAATACAGAAAACATCCTGTGTTGCTCAGCAGAATTCTCCCTGAACAGAAAGGTTTTCAGGCTATTCTATGAGGTGCCAACAGGTCTTTTATCAAAAACAAAACACATAGAGCCATAGGCAGGCTGTGTGAACTACAGCACAAGCGAGTGGAATATTCTTATTCAGGTGCAGGGGAAGTGGTTTGGAATTCACAATTTGGGAATTTTCAGTTGTAACTGTTAAATTTCTCTCACTTATCTGCTGATCCCAGGTCTGATCTCTCCCCTGCCACTGTGGTTGAGATGCTGATCTCAGCAGTTCCTCTCCCTTTATCCCACTACCCAGTCTTGTTTTCAGGCTCTGTGTGTCCTTGCCATATCAGGGTTATGTGTATAGCCTCTAGAAACTCAGGCGAGTCATACCCTGTAAAATCACTATAGCCCTCTCCTTTCCTTTGCTCTGGGATGAATCTTTAACAAGGAGAGACCTATTGAGAGGAAACCAGGCAGATGGTTTGTCAGGTTATGAGATGCATTGTGCTTTGCAGGAGGCTACTGCCCCTTACACTCATAGGAACTGTTTGAGGTCCTTTCTCTTGTGACTAGAGATCACTTCTGGATTCAGCACCAAATACAGCCATCCTCCCCAGTACAGTGTAGTGAATGAGCATGACGTGCATTGGCTTGTCTGTGTCAGTAAGTTTCCCTGTTTTGCTGTCTGGCAGGCTGGGCTGAAGGTGGTTCCATGTTCGGAAACACAGGGGTGCTCTTCCATCAGGTGGAGAGGCAGTGCAGCATCATCCACTACATCTACCAGAACATGCTGGGGGGCTCTATTCGAGCACAGCTCAAGCAGGTGAGGGTGTCTGCTTCTCATTCTACTGGACAGCTGAGCTCCCATCAGAGTTTCCCTTAAAAATGACAATGACAGCTTGAACACACGAGGGAGCTTAAAAGGGCCAGGGGTCCACTCCCATCCAGGACTCATGGTTTCCATGCCTTTAAAATGACTAAAAAACTTACAGTAATGTGCTGATAGTCTGATCTGCCGTCACATATCTCCCCTTAGTCCATACAAAATGCAACTGCTGAGATCATTTTCCTTGTTCATCAGTGACACATCAGTCCCCGCTTTGAATCCCTCTACTAATTCTCTGCTCCTCTGCATTAAAGGTAACTAAGCTTGTTCTATCAGTTGATGCCCGGCACAATATTACTTCCACCTACTTATCTGACGTAGTCCTATATCATGTTGACCCCAATTGCTCCACTCTGCTAATAATGTCGATCTCAATGTCCATTTGTTAACTTCTCTCACAGTCATCTCTACACCTTTTTCCATGTTTCCCCAGGGTATGTAATGCCTTCCCTGAACTGGTTTTCGAAGCCATAATTCTCCACTCATTCAATCCTTCCTTAAGGATTAACTTCTCCTGTAATGTCCACAAAGAGTAAATCAACCAGGATAGGTTTATTTTCTAGGTCATTTGTGTGTTTTGTATTTTTGATTTAAAAATTCATCCAGTCTGTACACTTGCTTTAGCTAAATAACCACATGATTTTGTCACTGTCTTGCCTTCCCAGCCCAGCCCCATTTCTGTTAGCCTTTTGTCTTATTGTGTCATGTTTTGTAAGCACTTTGGAAGAAGGACAGTGTCTTTATGTCTCTGGATGAAACATAACATGCTTCTGGGTGCTCAGTAAATACATAACAGGAGGAAATGTGGTTGTTGGAGTCTGTTCCTGTGAGGAAAGCGTGTCCAGCTGCCATGTTAGTGTGATGATACCAGTTATCCTCCCCTCTTAGCCAGCCCAAAGGGCTCAGCTCCCCTTACAGATCTAGAGAGTGTTTTTTCTTACTGCTTTGTCACTGGGGGGGTTGAGTATTTGTGGCTTGGGTATATTTGTTTGGAGTGGCCTGTCTTCCATGGGGCATTGTGTTCCCATCCATTGCTCAGCTAAGTCCAGAGGGGGAAGCAGCATCTTGATGTGAATACCCTAATACAGGAGTAACTGTTCACCCTGTTAAAAGGATAGGAGACAAGGCCCATTCAGATCAGGAAAGAAATCTGCATGACCCCATCACTACCAGATTGACTTGTGTTTATGGTACAAGATGGGACAGACAACAACCCTTTAGTTCTGCCCACTTGACTGTAAACTCCACTGTGAAAGTGAAGACAGCTGGGCTGAGTTTCTCCCTGATATTCCCGGGGATCAGCCTCGCTTTTTTAACTCCCTGGGAAGTGTGTTTAGAGTGGTGTGCATACAAAGTCTGTAAGCATTTTTGGAGAGATTCAGAGACCTACTTCCAGCTCTGTGGAGATCCCAATCTCTCATTTTCTTTGCAACAGTGTCTCCAGCTTCCCTTTGTGCGTTCTCTTACTTCATACCGCCTCTTCCGAACAGCGAGTCCCTTTGACAGGAGAGTGACATGTCTGGAGTGGCATCCAACTCACCCCAGCACTGTGGCTGTGGGGTCCAAAGGTGGAGACATCATCCTGTGGGACTACGAAGTACTGAATAAAACCTGTTTCATAAAAGGGGTAAGTCACTTAGTGTGTGGGATGAGCAGGAGGGTAGGACAGGAACAGCACCGAGTGCTGCAGCTCATTATTGAGGTGCAATGTCAGAACTGTGAGGGGCCCAGGACTGGAATAGCAGCAGGTACTATCCTGATCTTACAGGACTGAGATGCAGTGGTGGATCTGTGTGTGAGGCCCCGGACTGGCAGTGTGGGGGTTTCAGGTCAGAACTGAGGTTTGTTTGTAGAATTTATGGTGAAGTTTCCTCAGATTATATGCTTGGGGGGGGGGGGGGGATGGGTTGGGGATTGGTGAGACACTTTAGTGGGACAATGAAGAAGAAAGAAAATCTATAAGAAGCGTGCAGAGAGGGTTTATTTATTCTAGGCTTGAATCTCCCCCCTCTTCACCTTCTCGTTCTGTGTCAGATGAGGAAGCATCTTTTTGAGTGGAAGGAAGGAAAATCCCTTCTGGTGAAGTGAAAGAGTAACGTAGAGTGACTCCCTGTGACTTTGAATGGTTTGCATGCCCATCCCATTCCATGTACACACCAATTCCAATCCCAATTCTATATGGGCTCATAGTCTTCACATCAGCACCTGTGGCTCTTCGGCTTAACAAATGAATACAGATTGGAAAGAGGATGATCATCCTCTGAAGACTCCTAGGTCCCATTCCTGGTTGCCTTGTGCTCTTTTTTGTGTAGCATGATGACTGCCTGCCAGGGATCGCATTGCCCTGGAACTGCAGGAATTGTAATCTTCTCCCCGGTCAGGTTGCCTGCTCAGCCAAGGCATGACTTGTAGAGATGAAGGTTGCCTTTGTCTCTTGAGAGTCCAAGACTTGTGTCACTGTTGATGTTGGGGACACAGTGATGAGTACAAATTTGCAGAAGGGACTTTCCTCCTTCCCCATCACTTAGTGATTTTTCTTTTTTGTTCATCCCCTTCATTGTAGATGGGAGCTGGAGGGGCCATCACAGGAATGAAGTTTAACCCTTTTAATCCTAGTCAGCTGTACACATCATCAATTGCTGGCACTACCACCCTGCAGGATTTTACTGGCAATACACTCCGGGTCTTCACCAGCACCGAGGACTGGGAGTAAGAAACACAGCAATTTTGTGGGCTTTTGCCTCCTGCTGGCAGTGGCAGCACAGGGAGGGGGAGCTTTACTTGTTTCTGAAACATGAGAGCTGGCCTCTCTGCTCCCCTCTACACCCACCTCCTCTCAATTCCAGAATCTGTGTCTTTTGAAAGCCTGTCTCTCTTGTTTTTCCTATTTAGGATGTAGGAGGAGGGGAGAGAATACTGATTTTTTGGTTTCCCCTAAAGGAGGGACTCTTCTTCCACTCTTACTCATTTCTGTTATTTTTGGAGGGCACCAATAGAATTCCTCAATTTTGTGCCTTTACATGGCTCTGTGTTTAACCTCTGAGCTGTTGGCTGTGCTGCTTTCACTGGCCACAGGGTCTCTGTAGAGCCATCTGAGGAGTTCCTACAGTACTCCTGCAAGCCCTGTTGGCTTAGAAAGTCAGAGGATAGTCCTAGGAATGAGCCTGTAGCATCAGCATGCCAGTTCCACTTTGCCCTCTTTGTTTTCTTTCCCTGCCTGCCTCCTGCCAGTAGCATGTTTCCTAAGCATCTACTCCAGCTGCAGTCCTTCCTGGGAAAGAGGGCGAAACCAAACTGGAGAGGTCCATTGGGATAGTTCAGTGCTGCCATGCTGGAGATCCAGGTTTAGCATTCAGGTGACTCCCTGGAACAGCAGGGGCCTGGAGGAAAAGACATGCTCTGTCCTTGGGGTGGGAGAGCCTCACATGTTCCTGTAATATTTGCTTCTGATCAAGATGAAGACGACTAGGTCTGAAGGGGAGGTCAATCCAGTTTCCATTGGTTTTAGGTAGGTCAGGGTCTATGGAGGGGTCTTGTTTTTTTTCAGGGGCTTCTTGAAAGTCAGTATTGAGGATGAGGCCTTGGTACATGGTGACTTTGTGAGAAGCAGGTGAAATGCACTGCCTATCAGAGTTGTTTTTGTCTCCCGGTTAGCCCTATCTCTTTTCGCTCTCTGTTGGTGAGTGAGGATTCCACCTGTTGGCTCAGTAGAAACAGGCTGGGGATGGTTCCTGGGATAGGATACCTTTGCCTCCCTTGCCATGCAATCAGCAGTGGGGATTTCTCCCTGAACAGCTCTCTTCCTGCCTGCTGGCACCTTGGGAAAGACCAAACGTGACACACTGGAAACCGCTGCAGGGACTCTGTGGAGGAAGACCCTACAGGAAGAATGTGGTGCAGGTTGTGCTTGGGGTTTTGTATGTTTCTGCATGGAATGTTGCTTGTGTTCTTGCCCTTCCAGGCCTGGCAATGGTTCAGGCTGTGGTTACCACAGCCACATCCCGTTGTCTGAGCTAGAGAAAACTGTGCTGCTGGAGGGGACTTTGCTTTGTTTGGGAAGACAGATGGTAGAACCTGCAAGCCCAAAACATTTGTATTCTCAGGCTATGTCGCTATGCTGCGATCAATGCACCGGGGGTCAATTTAGTGGGTCTAGTGAAGACCTGCTAAATCGACAGCAGAGCGTTCTCCGGTCGACTCCAATACTCCACCGGAAACAAGAGGAGTAAGATAAGTCTATGGGAGAGCATCTCCTGTCAACCCAGCACGGTGTAGACACCGCAGTAAGTTGACTAAGCTATATCAACTCCAGCTAATTTAAGTCAATTTACCACGGTAATGTAGACATAGCTTCAATTTAGTAACAGACTAGATAAAATGTGGCTCTTTAGTGCCACTCTTGTTGGGAAACAGACTCCATGAACTTGGTGTATCTCAGCTATGGAGCGAGGGGTTCACTTCCAGGTGGTCGGCATTCTGCCATGTCCCTCCCTTCCCCAATAACATTGGTGCCCCTTCCCTTTGTCTGTGTGTTCCAGAAAGGGCCAGGAGACTCCCTTGGAGGCATGAAGTTCAGCCCATTTGAGGCAGTGAAGCTTTATGTGGCATCAGGGGATGGCACCCTTAGTCTGCAGCATCTGGAAGGCAAAGCGGCGCAGGTGATCTCCCGCACCCCAGACTGTGGCCATGAGTACCATGATGTTTGGTGAGGAGGGGCAGGCAGGGTTGTGCCTCTGCTCCATGCTATTTATACTGTAGTCCCTCTTCTTCTCTTTGATGTCATCTTCCTTTGCTAGGACTAGGACAGACTTACTATTTGCTGGGGCTGTCAGTGAGCTCAGTGTTGTGTGATACAGGGGCAGGCATGTGGTCCTGCTCCAAGGGTTTGGCAAGCTCAGGACAATTAGACTCCTGCTGTTTCAGTGCATGATGGGTAATATAGTTTTTGGCATCTTTTGGACAGCAGCAGCACTGGGCATGTACTTTTCCTTTAAAAGGGTACAGGTGAGGAGAAGAGCAAGGTGCTAGATGGTCAGGCCAGTGTTCTCCTGTGGACATGAGCTAGGCTAAGCTTATAGGGCAGCTTAGGTTAAACCAAATAACATTTATGCAGAAACATATGTAATCCTATTGTGATAACTCTGCTATCCCTTTGGAGGTGGGGGTTGGGTTTTCAGGCTTGCCACCCTGACTCCAGGGCTTTGAATTCTAATGTGAAAATCCCCTGTAGGGCAAAGCTTTGCAAAGAAATCCTGCACGTCAGAGTATTCACCCTTCTCCTCACTTAGTATAGTCTGGGTTGGGACACTATGCCACCAAAAGCCTGGGTTTGATTTAGTTCCTGAAGTGGGCTATTGCGGGAGCTTTAGACCTGAAATTTTCCAATCCAGAGTCTGTAGCAACTCCCTGCAGCTTCTTCACCCGTGTGGGGAAAGCTAATTTTAAATCCATTTCTGCACATTGTGTAAAAGTCTCCAGTGTGGTCCTGATCTTTCCCAAGCTGTCTCTATATGCAGTTGACAAGTGGCCACTCACCCTCAGCTACGTCCTACTGCCCCAGCATGTTCCCGCTATCTAAAGCTTACTTGGCAAATAACTCAGAAGTGATGTCACATCAGTCACCAACCCAAAGCTACCTTGGTGGACTCTGCCCCTGGACTGATGGTTGAAGTCCCACTCCACCACATGGGAGACCCAGTTCTGAGTCTGTTGCAGTCCCACTCCACCACATGGGAGACCCAGTTCTGAGTCTGTTGCAGTCCCTCTCTGTAGAGAGACAGAGAAGGCCGTACTTAGAGGTTCCCCTCCCAATACTTGTCTCCAGGAATTGATGCTGATCTATGTATCTTTTCTTTTAGTTTCTGGTACTGCAGTGTTGATGTGTCTGCGAGCTGCCGGACCGTGGTGACAGGCGATAATGTGGGTAATGTGGTCCTGCTCAGCACCGGTGGTGAAGAGGTTTGTATGGCTCCTCTCATCTTCCCTGCCTCGCACTCTCCCCTTTCCAGGGACCCCGATGGTTTGTTTGTTCTTTGCCCATGTCTGTCTTGGGAGCAGGGTCCCTAGAAAGAGGAGCATGCATCCTGAACCTCAAGGGATGCGAGTCCACCCAGTATCTGCCAGGTGGTGCTTCCTGCCCTTCTGCAGTGCACTAGAAACTGCCTGTTCTTCCTCCCAAGTTGGGGAGCACACCAGTAATGACTCAGAGTGATTCCAAGTTAAGGACCACATCATGGGATCTGCCTGCATTGACAGTGTCTGATTACTCAGGAGAGCAGAATTTGTGACATCCTGAAGGTGTCAATTCCCCCTAGCAATGAACACGTTCCAGAAACCTCTTTGGAAAAATGGGGAGTGTCGTGGGTGTGTGATGTGACAGAACCACTTCTTCCCCAGGGCTAGTCACAAGCTGGATCAAAGTCCTTGGCATTCCCAACTCCAAATCCCAATCTCAGCAAAGGCCAGGAGAAGAACAGAAACTGCACCATTTCCATCCTGCCCAAGGGGGCAGAGTGTTAGTACCAGGACCGGAAACAGAAAAGAAAGCTGCCTAGGAGAGGGTGGGCCTGGAATTTCTTAAAAAGTGGGCCCTATCAAGAGCCACCTTTTTGATGCTGCTTTATTATAATCAATCCTAAGTCATCACTTGTGTTGCCCTCGGGGTAACAGTGCAGGGCAATTCCCACCCCAGGAGCTGTAGGCAGGGGGGCCATGTTAATCAGTGGGCCAAGTCACTAGCTGGGGCACTCCAAATAAAGCCCAAATACTTGAGTTTAGATTTTTGCCCTTTCCTCAGGACATGTTTATTAATACACAGAAGATGCAAAAATGTTCATAATACAAAATTTTCTGTAATGGAGACCTTTCCTATCTTCTGCTATTGGGACTGATCCATCCTTCCCCTCTAGGTAGCCCTTTCCTGGCTACTATGGAGAAACTCACACTTGGGCTTCTCTGACCTCTGTTTTTTTCTGTCTGCTGTCCCTGCCCAAGAGGCAGGAAGCCTCATAGCTGTCTTCCTGTAGGTCACATGTTTGCTCCTAGTCATGTGCCCTGCAACTACAGCTCTCAGTATTAAAGGCCCCAAGGACTGAAAGAGCTGCCCTGTGTTTTATACCCTCAAGGCAGAGTGCCTTGTTACATGCCTAATAAATTCCTTGGGAGTAGATTAATCTCCAACCCCAGTAATGTCCTCACAATGGAAAGCTTTCTGTGGTGAAACTGGCAAAGGGACCAGGAGAAGATCTTGGACCTTAGCAACTGTCTCAAAGAGAGAGGGTCACACTAAGGCCCATCTAGCCCAGTATCCTGTCTTCCAACAGTGGCCAATGCCACGTGTTTCAGAGGGAATGAACAGAACAGATCTTTATCAAGTGATCTATCCCCTGTCACCTTTGCCCAGCTTCTGGCAAATAGAGGCTAGGGACACTTCAGAGCATGGTTTGCTTCCCTGACCATCCTGGCTAATAGCCATCAATGGACCTATCCTCCATGAATGTATCTAGTTATTTTTTGAACCCTGTTATAGTCTTGGCTTTCACAACATCCACTGGCAAAGAGTTCCACAGGTTGACTGTGCATTGTGTGAAGAAATACTTCCTTTTGTTTGTTTTAAATCTGCTACCTATTAATTTCATTTGGTGAACCCTAGTTCTTGTGTTAGGAGATGGAGTAAATAACACTTCCTTATTTATTTTCTCCACACCAGCCATGATTTTATAGACCTCTATCATTTCCCCCCTTAGTCGTCTCTTTTCCAAGTTGAAAAGTCCCAGTGTTATTAATCTCTCCTCATATGGAAGCTGTTTCAAACCCCTAATCATTTTTGTTGCCCTTTTCTGTACCTTTTCCAATTCCAATATATCTTTTTTGAGATGGAGTGACCAGATCTGCACACAGTATTCAAGACATGGGCATACCATGGATTTATATAGAGGCAATATGATATTTTCTGTCTTATTACCTATCCCTTTCTTAATGATTCCCAACAATCTGTTAACTTTTTTGACTGCTGCTGTATATTGAGTGGGTGTTTTCAGAGAACTATCCACAATGACTCCAAGATCTCTTTCTTGAGTTGTAACAGCTAATTTAGAGCCCATTGTTTTGTATGTATAGTTGGGATTATGTTTTCAATGTGCATTACTTTGCATTTATCAACATTGACTTTCATCTGCCATTTTGTTGCCCAGTCACCCAGTTTTGTGAGATCCCTTTGTAGCTCTTCACAGTTTGCTTTGGATTTAACGATCTTGAATAATTTTGTATCATCTGCAAATTTTGCCACCTCACTGTTTACCTCTTTTTCCAGATAATTTATGAATATGGTGAACAGCACTGGTCCCAGTACAGACCCCTGGGAGACACCACTATTTATCTCTCTCCATTCTGAAAACTGACCATTTATTCCTACCCTTGTTTCCTATCTTTTAACCAGTCACTGATCCATGAAAGGACCCTGCCCTCTTATTCCATGACAGCTTACTTTGTTTAAGAACCTTTGGTGAGGGACCTTGTCTAAGGCTTTCTGAAGTTTGGGGTATGTCAGAAACTGCAAGTGCAGCCTCATATAGATGAGTCTGAGCTCCGTGCTGTGGGGTTTGCAGTGCTGGCTGTAGCCAGACTGCACCTGCACCATGCTCTAGGGCCAAGGCTTGCAGTGCTAACAAGCTCTACTACCTGCCCCAAAACCTTTGGATAAATGGGGCGATACAGTATGCAAGTTAAGGATTGCTCAGAGCTCCACTGTCTAAATCCCTCGGGCTCTCTGTACCAGAGCAGTGCCGGAAAGTTCTTCATGTGGCATGGATTGCACCTGCTTGCTGTGTAGCTGTTGCACACATCTCACCTTGTTTCCCTCCACTGCAGATTTGGAAGCTGAAATTACATAAGAAGAAAGTGACTCATGTGGAGTTTAACTCGCGCTGTGATTGGCTCCTGGCTACAGCTTCTGTGGACCAGACAGTCAAAATCTGGGACCTGAGAAACATCAAAGACAAGTCAAGTTTCCTTCATGTGCTGCCTCATGACAAACCTGTCAATGCTGGTAGGTCAGTGAGGTAGGACTCTCTCTCTGCTCTGTGCCCATCAATCTACCCATCTATTCTGTGTTTCTGTCTGTCCCTTTTGGTCTCTTGTGACCTGTGCCTGGGTCCATCACGCTTGGGTTTTCTGTGCCCCACTTTCCCTCCCACAAATGTGTATCAATCCTGTTTCTTTCATATCCTTCAGTGTGTGTCTATTAAAAAATGAAATCATTTTGGAGCAAGCCTGAGTTTGATCAGTTTAAAATTGTTCAGTTTTTAAATTCAAACACTGAACATAAACTTTATCGAAAGTTCTGTAAGAAAGTGTAGGTGTCACCCTTAACACCTTCTCATTGGCTTCTGGCTAATTCATCCTGAACTATTGCTGATGATGGAGGGATACTTAAAGATTCCAAGGCCAGAAGAGACCATTGTGATCATCTTGTCCAGGGGTGGGTAAACTTTTTTTGGCCCGAGGGCCACACCGGGATTGCGAAATGGTATGGAAGGCCATGTTTGGGGAGGCACAGCCTTCCCTACAGCCTGGCCCCCACCCCCATCGGCCCCCTTCCACTTCCAATCCCCCCTGCTCCTTGTCCCCTGACCGCGCCCTTCCGGGATTGCCCCCATCCAACCCCTGCTCCCTGTCCCCCTCCCAACTCCTATCCACACCCCCGCCTCCTGACAGGTCCCCCGGGACTCCCTCGCCTATCCAACCCCCGCATTCCCCTGTCCCCGAACCTCCACCCCATTCAACCGCCCCCTGCTCCCTGTCCCGACTGCCCCCCAGAACTTCCTACCCCTTATCCAACCCCACCGCTCCCCGCCCCCTTACCGTGCTGCTCAGAGCGGCAGGACTGGCTTATTGGAAAGTCTGGGAGGTTGGTGGGCGCAAGCCGCACAACCTGGCAGGAGCGGCAGGCCAGAGTGCTCCCCGCATGGCAGCATGGCTGTGGGGGAGGAGGGACAGCAGTGGAGGGGCTGGGGGCTAGTCTCCCTGGCCGGGAGCTCATGGGCTGGGCAGGAAGGTCCCGCGGGCCATAGTTTGCCCAACCTCTGATCTAGTCTGACCTTGTCTAACACAGGCCATTAGAACTTCCCCAAAATAATTCCTAGAGCAGAGCTTTTAGAAAAACATCCAGTTGTGATTTAAAAATTGCCAATGATCGCGAATCTATCATGACCCTTGGTAAACTGTTCCAATGGTTAATTATCCTCACTGTAAAAAAATGTATGCCTTATTTCCAGTCTGAATTTGTCTAGCTTCAACTTCCAGCCATTGGATTGAGTTATGCCTTTCTCTGCTAGATTGAAGAGCCCATTATCAAATATTTGTTCCTCATGTAGGTACTTATAGACTGTAATAAAGTCACCGTTTAATCTTCTCTTTAAGATAAACTGATTGAAGTTCTTGAGTATATCACTATAAGGTATGGTTTCTAATCTTTAAATATTCTCATGGCTCTTCTCTCAATCCACTCTAACGTAATTTAAATGTACTGTCCTGTTTAATAAAATGTCTGTTCTCAGTGGCTCAATCCTCTGCAATTCCTGGGGAGCTGCCCTTGAGAGCTTAATGTGAAAAAACTGAAGTTTGCTGGGGATAGTGTGTGGAATTTGTTGGGGCAGGTACTCCTGATCATTTCGTGCTGAAGTTCCTTTGGTAAAAAAGGGATTAGGAATCAAGATTCCTTTGGTTCTATTCCCAACATTGGAGGGATGGGGTCTGCAGCGTTCTGTTTCCAGTTCTTTCACTGGCTTACTATGCGACTTTGAGTGAGTTCCTTTCCCACTCACTGTCTTTTTTCCCCATCTGTATAGATTGTAAGCTTCAGTTTAATATTTGTAAAGATCTTTGAGTTCCTTGGAAAAAAGGGGCCATAGAAAGACAGAGTCTTGTTCCTCGGGGCACGTGGCTCTTTTAAAATAACTATTTAGGAAGTTGTAATGTGCTTACAAATTAGGGACATGTGTTGTTTTCCTCTTCTTTGTCTATGGCCACAGGACTGTGATCTTCTGTATGCTTTACTGCCCTTTTCCCAGCTTATTTCAGCCCAACGGATGGTGCTAAACTCCTGACCACAGACCAGCATAGTGAGATCCGAGTCTATTCCTCTTCAGATTGGACCAAACCACAGCATCTGATCCCACATCCGCATCGGCAGTTCCAGCACCTCACACCTATCAAGGTGAGGTAGGAAAGCGCAGTCTGATCTCACAGCAGATGCCAGTAGCAAGTTGGAAAAAGCTTTGGTACAATTTCTTTTCAGAATAGGGCACTGCTGTGGGAAAGCTCACACTCCTGGAGTCACAGCTCTTTCTGATTCATATCAGTCTTTAGCTGTGTTCCTCTAGAGTTGTTTACCACTGTCCATCTGCTTTATGTCTAGGCGACATGGCACCCTCGTTATGACCTCATTGTGGCTGGTCGCTACCCAGACCCTAAGTTCCCAGGATACACAGTGGATGAGCTGCGAACTGTTGATATATTTGATGGAAACACTGGGGAGATGGTGTGCCAGCTCCACGACCCGAATGCATCTGGCATTATCTCGGTGAGCTTGGGCGCTGGAGTTGAAAGGGCTCCTGTGCCCTTAACTGTAGCCAAGACCTGAGTATCAGGGAGATCACGCAATAGGAATAAGACCCAAAATCTCCTAACACATGCTCACACTCATACTGGAGGAGGCATCCTGGCAAGGTGCGGTGCAGGGAACAGTCTGTATACTGGCCATGGGAAAGAGTGCCTCAGAGAGGTTGGCTGTGACAACTAATATGTGTGAACAGCTTCTTCGGGGGGGGGGAAAGTCTCCTAAGAGTGAATCCAGGGTTGGGCATGTGAGGAGTCACCTGGGTTGCTGCTTCTCCATCCGTTAGCTGGTCCTTTGCAGGCCATGTGCATAGGAGTCGCTGTGAAATACAATCATGCCCCAGGGAGGAAGTAACTTCTCTTAGCATGATGCCAGCTCTCACGTCAGCTGCTCTCCCCATCCAACCCACCAGCAGCTTCTGAGCAGAAAGTGACATCCCAGTTACAGTAGCACACTGAGCTCCCACAGGGCTGACTCCCCTACAGGATCAGACTGAGGAGAAGCAGAGCAGGAAGACTGGACCTGATTCTCCTCACATTTATACCAGTGTTACACTGATTACTCCATTGATTTCAGTGGCATTACCCCTGATTTACACCAATATGAGAGGAGGATCCAGCTTGCTCACTCCCAACATGCAGCAGAGATGGGTTGTAAAGCCATGCTGGCCAGCCCCCGACACCTGGAGCTCTTTGCAGTTGGGGTGTAGGGTCATGCCAGCCAAGGGCAGCTGATCTTTGCAGAACGGTTCCATGTTCAGTTGTCAGCCTTTTTGTGGTGTACTTTAGGGAATGTTCTATGTTTGATAGTGTTACATAAGCATTGAGGCTGATAGTTTGTCAATATGTTTACATTTGCAGCTCAATAAGTTTAACCCTATGGGAGATACACTGGCCTCTGGTATGGGTAAGTAGGCTTCTGACTCTCTGTCCTTATTTTATTATTGAGGCAGCTGGACAGCATGGGGTTCTGGTCTCAGAAAAGGGTAGATTGGCTTCTCCAGACAGACATATGCCGAAAGTGATGTACTCATGAGTTCTAAACCGAGTTCTGTCATTGATACTCACCAAGGTTGAGTTTCCTTCTCTGTAAAATAAGTTAATACCCTATCCTCTTATCTCCAAACTCTAGTGTCCCCAGGATTAAGCCATGGTTTGTAAAGCATTTTGAAAACATCCACTAAAATGTGCAGTGTGGCAATTAGCTTCAAGGGAAAGCAGCCTCCCTAGGAGGAGAGGGTGCTGCTGCCATCTATCTGCTGAATGGCAATGCTGCAAGAAGCAATATGAAAGAAGTCCCTGCCCTTTGCCCGCTACTGCTGGTCTCACTGGCCTTTGTCTGACTTCTTTTGGGTTATTGCACATGTACATGCTTTATATCCAAAGAGGCCCTACCGTTCTTGGGCCCCCTAGGATCTGGGGAAGCTGGCCATATTGAGTTCTGATTTAATCTGATTGTAGAACTTTTCTTTCCATGGAAATTGTGGGGCAAGAGAATTAATTGATCATGCCCCTTAATTGCCAGCTATTGCTCAGTTTCCATGATCATATGGCTAATAGGTACATGATTCCTACAATAGGACTACGTGGAGGCAATGTCAGGAAGAAATAGTTTACACCAGGGATTCTCAAACTGGGTGTCGTGAGGTTATTACATGGGGCGTTGCAAGCTATCAGCCTCCATCCCAAGCCTCACTTTGCATCTAGCATTTATAATGGTGTTAAATACATTAAAGTGTGTTTAATTTTTAAGGGGGGGGGTCACACTCAGAGGCTTCCTATGTGAAAGGGGTCACCAGTACAAAAGTTTAACTACTGGTTTACACAATCCTTAGTGACTGGACATGGCTAGAAAAATACTTCCTTTTTTTGAGCAGTAGCTGAATGTTGTATTTAATTGGTATAGACAGTGATTCCCCCATTAGAAACTATGTCTGTTGCAGAATATCTGAGTGTTGAATTTTTTTCCCCATAGGCTTTAACATTCTGATCTGGAGTCGGGAAGAGATGGTGACCAAGAAACAGGAGCATCTCTTGAAAGCTATGACAGAGCAGGGAATGGGAAGCAGAAGCTTGTCCAGGCATGGGCTCCAGAAGCAGTCAAACCCAAGGGCAAGCAAACTCAAAACGAAGCTGCTTGCTCTGGAACTAGAGGGGACTAAAACAAAGGGCAAAGATCCCAAATCACAGGGCAGGAAGCGGAAGGATCTGGAGGATTGAGCAGACACCTCCAGGCTTTCTAGATCATGCTGGACAAAGCCAGCTCTGGCACAGTGGGCAACATTTACCCTGAGGGGCACCCAGCCTTCTGCTTTGTCCTTCCTTGCTGGGTAGGAAGTTGCTGCTTGTACTCTCTGCTTTCCCCTCTAGAGGGTAGTGTCATTGCTCAGCTCCTCCTCCTGGGTGACACATTTTATCAAGCACTATGGGAGCCTGAATGTCAGCATGCCCTGTGCTGGCATCCAGTTAATGGAACCACAAAACGAAGCATTATGCTTATGTGTGATTCTTGTTCTTTAATTATCTGGGTCAGTGGCTATGAGGTCAATAGGGGAGCAGCCAGGGCTGAGCTGGGCCTCTGCTGATGCTGTAGTTTATATCTTCAGAGCTTTAGTCTCTCTCCTGCAGTGCACCAGCCAGCCCTGTTTTCAGTCTTGTACCCCAAAATGTGGGGATAGGTGTTCCCAAAGTGGAACCTGAGGACTGCCTTCCCCACCCCCCTTCTCATATAGCTATATCTCAGGGCTGCTGTTAACCTACAAGTTTTTATGTTTGAAAGTTAGCCTGTTTACAATGCTGCCTGGGGCATAGGTGGAGAATCTGCCCTCGCTAGGGCTCAGGCCCTGCTGGGAAGCTTTGTTAATTTCATGGTGTTTATAATATTCAAGTGTTAATAAAGTTTTGTACAAAACAGGCTTTCTTCCTTGGGAGAGTGGCCACCTCAGGGGCTTTGATGAATGGCCTGTTGTGATGAACTCTTAAGCCCACCCCAGCAGGAGTTGACAGCTAGCAGGCTGCTGGGGGGGGAGGGAAAGAGAGGGCATATGTGCTAATGTTGCTCCTCCAAAAGGCTCTTGTGAAAAGAGATGAATTCACTTACAAACTGAAGTATCTGCTTTTTGCAGAGTAGCAGGAGACAAAAATACTATGAAGAGAATCATAAAACATAGGGAAATGACCTCTGCTCTTCCCCTGCTTTGGGTGGGGTTGTTCATAGCAGGAGTATTGCCTCTCCTGCTCCATTTTTTGTCCTGTGAAAAGGTGAAGGTTGCAATAGCTTCCACATTAAATGCAGAGCCTAACAGGCCTAGGCCTCTATGATCCCACCTAGCAGAAGGAGTAGCAGGAGCCCAGTCTCACTTTGATTTTAATGAAGAAAAGGCAAGAGGTAATGGAACAGAATTACAGAAACTCAGTCAAAGTCTAAATCACTGTAGAAGCCTTTCCTCCATGTGTGCAAAATCTGCTGCCTTTAAAAATAGCCCCTTCTGCTACACAGGCCCCTGTGATGGCACTTCCATGCATCTTTCTCCTTCAGTCCTGTTCTCATGAGCAGCTGCTTGTTCTTTGTGACTGTGTTTTGCTCTTTAGGAGAACTAAATTGTATCTCCAAGTGAGAAACAGGTAAGGCAGTTGCTGAGAGCAGCAGGCTGGGTCTGCTGCATTAGAGTTCTCATACTGGTAGCAGCCTGTAAAATTCCCCATGGTGAAGTGGAAGGAAAGAAAAGGAAGCCTGCTAGTAGCCTCCACTGCCAGGAAGGGAACTGGACCAGAAAAGGAACTAAAACTAGGAAGTGAATGTGCAACATCACCCTATGAGGAGCCAGAGCCTCTGGTGCCTGCTGCAACCTCACTCTTTACCAGAAACTGTAGTGGAGGGCAGAAGATGATGACTGCTAGCCATTAATATTCTCAACACCTGTTGTAGTCTGCAGGGAGATCCCTGCAACCTCCACACAGTTGGCCTCAGGAAAGAGTCACCTTTAGTGACTCATCTAGAAGATCCAGGTGATTCACCCTGACAGGTGCATAGTGACCTATGGTCACTTGCATGTCCCACCGATTAAGCTGAGCATTTATTTTTTAAATTACACTAATGGGGGGGGATAGGGAAAAAAACTAGCAAGGTTGGCACGTGTCCCAGTTTTGGAGTAAACTGTTCTCCTACATGGTCTTTAATTGCAGTGTAAAATTTTCTGCCTGCCATGCACATTTGTTTGGCCCACAGTCAACATCTGCACCCATAGTGTGGTACAGGGGCTGTAGCTACAGGCAGCCTGTGGCATTCACAGCTGAGCGAGGTCAAAACAAAAGGCTGTAATTTCAGAGAGAGAGCCCCAATTTCATAACCACACCCACCGATTGTAGCTTTGCAAATTAGGATTATGAATGCAATTAAAGCTCAGGGAGCAGGCAGGGTACTTTCTCCTTTGTACAGCATTGCACAACAGCCTAGGTGCATGGTAACTCTGAAGGATCAGGAATTGGGTATCATAGGGGCTAATCCATGTGGCAAAGTCCATTGATCCCTAGAACTTCTCCAACCTACCCCTGCACTGAAGCTTGGGTCCAATGGCAGGTTTACAATCCTACCCTAACTTAAGGCCAGTTTTTCCTCTCAGAACAGAGTTGGGGGAAGAGGGGGGAGGAAGGAGTGACCAGGTGCCAGCAGCACTTAAGTAGCAAAGACAAGGGACCCCACAATCTCATCTGTAAAGCCAGTGATCTCCAGCAGCTCCATCTTCTTGGAAAGCAGATGAGGATTCAACCTCTACCCAGTGGGTGTGAGTTGGGGCCTCTGGTCCAGGTCCAGCCTTCATATAGTAATCAGCCCAATGGCCCAAGACAGTGCTCAAAGCAGATTGGGAATCACACTGAAGTCAAATCATTCTGACCTCAGTAAACAAGGCTGTTACCAACTGAGCAGGTGATGGCAGCTACTGGGAGAGATTCCCAGTCCTCTTTGCTGCTGCTAAGATAATTGGTAAAATTACAACCATTAAAAGGAGAAAGATTATTCCTAAAGAGCAGCTGGCTGTGGAAGGGGAGCCCCAGCTTTGTCATGTATTAAAAGTAGGCATTCCACACAGCACATTGGATGCAAGGGGGCAATCCACTGCCTCCATGCAGTTAGACCATCCTGCTCCAGATGCCCTGGAATTTCACCGCCAAATGTCATGTCTCATCTAAAGAGCAGCCAGAGGCTGGTCACATCAGAGTCCAGCTTCTGTGCAGAAGAATGCTCAGTTACTGAAGGACGACCCAACCACTCCCAGGGGCAGCGCTGCTCCCTCTTGCTCCCTGGGGAGGGGTCAGAGCAATTGTCAGGGCTGCTCTTCTCCCTCGTTGGAAACATGCCGGTAGCCAGGTGGCTGGGACTGTATTCGGAAAACGACAGTCAGGAGGAGGATAATGAGGAGGAAGAGGATGGATCCACAGACAGCCAGAGCCACAATCAGTTCTGCAAGGGAGAAAATGAGCATTCAGTCTGGTAACATTCAATCATCACTGTCTCTCACTAATGCCCAACCTAGCTGGCACTCACCTGTGTCCTGAACATTGCTTGCTACCTGGCATTCGCGCACCCAATCCTGGGGAATGATCGGGTCAGTGAGCCGCAGGAAATCCAGCAAGGGGCAGCGCTGGTCACAACCAGGCAGTGTCAGTGGAAAAGGCTCCCTCCCACTCTCGTTGTGGAAAAACATCTCCACAGAAAAGTTACTGAGGACAAAGCAGAGACACAAATCGAGATGGAGTGCTGAGAAGTCAGTAATTGCATATTCATTCTCCCATTTTCCTCCTGCCCAGGACCACTGCCCTCTCCAGCCATCCTGTAGATCTCTCTTCCTATCACCCACTTAGCATGCAGCTCTGGGAGCTAGCCCTTTCCCGTTGTTCTGTATTAAGATCTTCCTTCTGTTGTTCTCCCCTTGGGAGCAAGGACAAGAGGATCTGCCCTGAGGCTAGAGTCTTGCCTACATGTCTAACCCAGCAAATGCCCTCACCTGTCATCATCTTGGTAAAGCTCAAATATGTGACATGAGGCATATGGTGCTTGCCTCCCATTGTAGACATTCAGAGCCATCTGCAGTGCCACAAGCGTTGTGTCATGCTAAGGAAGAGGGAGAGAACGTGAATCACTCTTCACGAATAAGACAGAATGCCTGGGACCATATCGATAAAAGGAGAGCTCAGCAGGGGACCAAGGACTGTGCTGGGCAAGAGACAGCTCATTGAAGAAACCCAGGACCATGCCAGAGAAGGGAAAATAGATTATGGGAAACTCACTAGAGCAACGGTTCTCAAACTTTAGCAACCCGAGTACCCCTATTTTGATTTAAAAATTTGGGGGGGACCCCCAAGCCTCCGTTCAGCCCTTGCACTGCCCCTTCACAGAGGCCCTGCCCTTGCTCACTCCATCCCCCCTCCTCCTATCGCTTCCTCTCGCCAACCCTCACTCACTTTCATCAGGCTGGAGCAGGAGGGCGTGCGGGGTTCGGGCTCTGGACTGGGGTTGTGGGGTGTAGGCTCTGGGAGGGAGTTTGGGTGCAGGCTCTGGGCTGCAGCAGGCGGTTTAGTTGTGGGAAGGGTTGCGGGGTGCAGGCTCTGGGAGGGAGTGCGGGCTTTGGGCTGGGATAGGCAGTTGATGTGCCAATGGGAGCTGCAGAGTCTGCGCTCGGGGCAGGGGCAGCGTGTGGAGACCCCCTAGCCCTCACCCTAGGGGCTGCAGGGACATGTCTGGTGCTCCCGGAAGCAGCAGGGGGAGCCAGGACAGGCAAGCCTGTTCCCCAGCCTCCCCTGGAGGCACTCCTGGGAAGGAATTTTTCAGCGAGGCCCACAGACCCCTCAGGGACCCCCAGGGGTCCACAGATCGCAGTTTGAGAAACGCTGCACTAGAGGAATAGAGAAAGCAGAGATGGGGCCCTGGTAAAATAACTTGGGGCTATGCTGGGGAGGGGGAGAGAGAGAGAGAGAGCTGGAAGCTATACCAGTCTAGGAGGTCAAGTCCCTGAAGGTACATCTACATGACAACAGAACACCCATAGCTGGCCTGGATCAGCTGACTTGGGCTCTTGGGGCTGTAAAATTATAGTGTAGACATCCAGGCTTGGGCAGGAGCTGGGGCTCTGTGATCCTAGATGTCTGCAATTTCATAGCTCCACAGCCCAAGCCCTGCAAGCCTGAGTCAGCTGACCCAGGCCAGTCATGGGTGTTTTATTGCAGTGTAGACACACCCCAAGGGAACCCATTCTATGGCAGTTCTGGGAGTGAGGCTGGACAGTCTAACTCAGCAGGTTGCTAGAGAGGGAGATGACTGCATCTATCATTGGCCGAAACACCACATCAGGGTAACACAACCCATCTATCAGAAGGGGGCAGTGACCCCAAGTCTGTCCTCCTGCTCTTGCTGACTCAGCCACATGCTGGATTTTTAGACTGGGAATTCACTTCCTCGGATGCAGAAGGGATGATGAAAGGTGCTGTAGAGCATATGCTGATATGGGTAGAGACATATTCTGGATGTAGGGACTGCACTGGAGGATGGAAGGGGGAAGAGCAGCCACCAAGGCCCAAATCCCATGGCAGGTGGAGTGGGAGGGCAGCTCCCCGATGCAGACTTACTGCTGAGTAGGCGAGTAATTTCAGATGCTGGGGTGCAGACGCATTTGCTGCTGAGGTCATGTTTTTCCTTATCTGAGCCAGCAGGACCCCTGAGGAAAGAGAATAGCTGGTCAGATCCCAAAGCTCTTTAGGACAGAATGAGACTCTTACCTGAGATGCCATCCCTTCCCCACTCACCACCCTGCAGACGAGCTTTCTCCATCTGCTGGTGGATCCCAAACAGGAATTCAAAGCCAAAGTCTTTTAGTTGCTTCAACCGAGTCATGACATCTGGGGTCACCCATGGCGGCA